CCATGAAGAAAGCAAGAGGCTTTTCTGATTTCCCATGCTCCACAACATACACTTGCTCAGCCTGTGTTCACATGGTACCAAGAACCTCCAGTACATATAAGATGGCCCCTAGTGCTACCTTGGGGAAAACATTCAATATTTGCTTAAAAAAAAAAGGCAGTAATGAAAGAATGGTAACTTTCAGAGGATGTTCTGGAATGGCCTATATAACACATATGCACTTATCTTATGCTAAAGTACAAAATTCCATGTACTATTGGAAAAGAAATTTTACCCCTCTGGGATCTGAATTTCAGGAGTTCCCCTGGGAACTTTCTGACTCTCCATATCAGTAGATACAAAAAAAGTCCACAACACACAACACAGCTTGCTGGATGCAGTGGGAAGGGCGATGAAACCCCAGGGCACTAGGTCAATTTCCAGGGCAGAGGTTTTTCAATATTTCTACAGTCAAGGCTCAGTGGAGTGAGGCTGCAGTATTCCTGGCTTGGCAGGACACAGGATGGCCTTGGACAGTGGCACTCACTCTCTTGGATGTGTATGTGCACCTTGCTTGGGTGCAAGGGATTTACCATCCTGTCAGTGACACTGGAAGCTTCTTTTCAATCTATGGAAGTGGGTCTCTTGAGTATTTCTACCACATATCTGTCTGAGATTTCCCAGAAGGGAAAAGGCTAAATTCACATGTGGTGGCTAGCACGTAACAGAACGCCTGAAGCTTGTCCAAGTGCAGATTTATTGCATGGTAAAGAGAGGGGATGAAGTATTTGAACCCTAGGCCTACTGGTTAGGGTATCCCAGCACACTGGACCTGCTACACAACCATCATGGGTCCCAGGCTCAGCTCTGCTCACAAAGTCTGTGACTTTTGGGTTGCATATGAATGTGCGAATCACGGATGTAGCTCCTGGGCTGCAGAGTCTGTCTGATGCTTTCAGCATTTACTGTGTCCTACATTGAGTAGACATATGTGATGGGTGCAATTTGAGGTGTATATATATTATGACTAATTAACATGCATAACTTTATTGATACCAAGATTGAGAAATGAGTAGCAGGAAAAAATATAGCAAATCTTCATCTTCTTTCCTATACAAAATAACACTTTTAAATGTTTATTCTTGTTGGGATTTGATTTTTTTTGATGTTGTTTTAAAAGCATCTACTACATTTTGCATTAGGTAGAAAAGTATACTTTATGTGTTCTTTTGGTGTACACTTTTTTGTGCACGCTTTTCTACGTATACTTTATGTGTAATTTTCTGACTGATACAATCTTTTTTCTGATCTATACACTGTCCTGCTGACCTGGTATGCTGTCTTTTGGAATCAGATATTAAGGATCTGTGAGGATCTGAGATTTTAATAGATCTCCGAAAGAGATTATAAGATTTTCAAAGGGCTGTTCTACATGCACAGTATTTCTTCTTTACAGAAATGATAAAAATAAAACATATCTTGTTTCCAGAAAACTTTGATAGCTTCAATTATGTTTCCATAAAAATATCTATTTCCTTTGTATTACTTAAGAGTGCAACTCCCCCACAGAGCCGAGTCTACAGCTGCTACAAATTGCCTAAAAATGAGGAAATGGAGAAATTTCTACTTGGATTGTTTATTTTCACACCTTGATAAGAATATTACTACATCTTGATTGTAAAATCTGGCTCTACGTTCTTTGGGGTCAGGGAAGATTTCAAAGAATCTTGTTTTGAGATTTAGGCAAATATTTATGTGAAAGTGCTAAACCTACCAATGTCATGCAGTCTGTCTGGCTATTTTTTCTTCATTTACTCAAGTAAGTGTGAGAGTATGCATCAGTGATCACCACAAAGATGTGTGTAGACCATAGTATTCAAAGGTTTGTATTAATTATATAGGTGTGTAGATTTCCAGTGGATTTTACTGGTACTATTTACTGTCTGTGTGGTGGTAAATTCTGAGAGCTCCAGGAATGTTTTAAAGATATTGCAAAACTTTATACAGGTATCTGTATGGTCCCAAACTGGACAGCAGATATCCATAAAGAGATTTAGAACCCTGCATGATGCTTAAAATCTGGGAAATGGTTATAGGAACAGAGCTGTTTTTCATAAAATGAGAATTTTATCTGGTCCTACTGCTTCTGTATTTTAAAAAATTACACAAGCCCAAGAGATATAGATGCTAGCAGCAACAACAAGAGTAATGGTGATGTACACTAACGCTCATGGAAATCTTTGAGAATACATCTACAATTCAAAGCACATGAGAGCACTTGGGATGAATCCTGATCAAGAGTTTCTGCCACTTGTACCAAGGGAGGCTTACTATCACACAGTAGTTCTTGACTGTAACCTCTTACAGTCCCCAATGATGAAGACAGGATACATTCCTAACTTAATCCAGACTGCCACATGGTAAAGCCATCTGGGAGGATATTTTGAAGGAAACAGATGGAAAAGGAAGAGGTTGCTCTGAATGTAGTATAAGATTTACATTATCCTCCATGAACTTCCATGTAGTCCCCGTGTTTACACAATTTATCACTATTTCCTCAGACAGCTCAGATTAGGAAGCCTGCATTAACTCATGTTCTTGTTGCTAATTCTCAGTCTGAACCTCCCTAGTTTAAAGGGAAATTCAGTAGTATAAAAAGAAATCAGAGAAAGGCAACAAGACTGGAATGAAACCCAGCAGCATGAAGTTCCTGATTGTCTCAGGAATTACATTGTTTTACCTCTCCTTCTTTCAGCCTGAGGACAACACTGTCATGGGCATTTGCTCACAATAATAATTTTTGTTCTCTGCCATGCACCTATACCAGCAAAGCTGCAATTCTGTGCTACCATAAGCATGGGAGCAGGGTCTATTGATACCAGGAAGGGTTAAAGACATGTCAATAATTTCACTGAACATCCTTCAGGCCAAGGATTAAAAATAAAGAAATGTTCTTTGTGTAAAGACATGGCTTAAAAATAATTTAAAAAGTGTTATTTCACTACTCAGTTGTGACAACTGGAGAGTTGTAAACAGCCTTCTCTCTCTTTTCATGTATTCTTCTGTGCCTCCTTGCTTTCTGCACAAACACTTCCATTATTAATGGGAATGTCAAAGGACTTTCTTTTCTCTCTCTCTCTTTCTGTCTCTGACCACAGAGATGCTGCCAAGGCACTGCTGCAGGAGCGGTGGCATCCTGGTTGAAACACGCTACAGCATCCCCACGAGAATCAGTGCTTCAGCAGAGGGACAGGAAAATTCATACAGGGAACACCGGTGCTTTGGTTCAAGTGCCTATGTCACTTTGCCACCAATTAAATCTGTCATTACTTTGTTCTCCTACCAGATGACAGAGTCCAGGTCCCCTCTTTGTCCTCCTACACCCCAGACCAGCCTCAGTCTCTGGCATTTCTTACTGTCTTGCACTCAGGCTTGCACGATTATTGTTCAAACAAAACTTGCAGGAGTAATGCCTAGGGATCTTGTAGACCTGGTGGTACCACACAGGCCACTGGCAGCAATGGTTTCTGCCAGGCTAGGCTTCAGGCACAGCCACCAACTCTAGATCCCTTCTTCCTGCTGACCCCAGTGATATGTACTAGAAGAAAAGGCAACACAAACAGCCTCCCGGGAGTCTTTGCCTCCTGTATTTGGCCTAGCAGGGTTTAAGCCTCCGAGTCTCTCAGGTGCCACAGAGGAGATAGCTGGCTTTGTGCACTGGCAGATTTACTATCATGTTGTAACAGGAACAGCCTGATTGCAGCCATAACATTTGAAGGATATAAGCGAGACCAGGGAGGGGAAATATCTTTTATTAGAACAACTTGTTGTGTTTTGAATTGTGTGGTATAGTCAGAAGGTTATACACAGTAAGTCCCTCGGAACTTACACTGTGTTTCTTGCATAAGTTGGCCCAATAAAAGACACTACTTGTCCTTGCAAAACTGACCTTACTTAAAAGTACTACTACATTCACTCTATATGTTATGTCCACCATTCAGAGACACTAACCTGTGCATGGATTCGCACTGCTGAGACTGTCTTGATTTCTTGAAATCTGATTCCTGCACATGCTTTGGAGAATGACATCATTTTACCCCTTCAACTTCTGGTTAGGATGTTTTCTGTTTCTTATGTAACAGATCCTAATTCAGATTACAGTGGATATTACAACAATATACACTGTACAATAATGTATTAAAACCATAAGGTGGAAAAGTGAAAGTATTATTCCCTTCTGAAAGCAGACCTCTTTCCAGAAAAGCTATGGACCCCTTATGCTCCTGACTCAGCAATCATCCATCTGCATGGAGATACAGCAGCACAGCCCATGGACTCTGGAGACCCAAGGATGGACTTGCTCTCATGCCCACAGGCTTTTCTGCTGGTGCACATATAACAGAGTGCTAGAGTTAGGTTCTTGGGGTTTTTAACACAGGGCAGACTGGGAAAAGAAAATGAAGATGATTGTAACTGCAGTGTTTGACTGTTTTCACCTTGTGGCTTGCATCTGTCCAGAGTGTTAAAGAAGAATAATACCATCCAATACAAAAAATTCAAATGTGTTAGTCTTTATGACGGATCCAGTCTAGTTACAAAGTTCAGTCTATTTTATTTTGTGGATTTAGGGAATCTTTAGACCAATGGGGAGACTGGTTTTATGCATATGCCCCTCCTTGCTGTAATGCAGTCCCCAGCTACCTATGTTCAGGATACACAGAGATATCTATCACATGCTGGACTCACACCATGGAGGTGTGCACGTGTGTCTGCATTACCATTGCAAGGTGAGACATGCAGAAAGAGGACAATTCTAAGCAAGCACCATCCACTGCTTCCCCTTCTCTTTCCCAAGGGCCATCACGTGAATTGCTCTGATGGTTGTGCCTAGCAAGCCAACAGCTTTGCCCCAGCTCATACGACTGATGTATTTCCCTTCTTTCTTTACAGTAAAGGAGACCAGCTGAAATACTAAAAAGCTATTTCACTTAGTCTAAAGAATTTAAATTAGCTTTTCTTACCTGACCAGGCTTCTTTTGAACCACTTGTTGAGGCTGAAAAGTAAAACAAAAGCACAGTGAGAAACAAAATTCCCTGAGAGCACTTAACCGTGATTTCACAAATGCTAGGAAAAATGTTTTCAGCAATAGAAATAAAACACAGGCAAAGCCCACATTCAGAAGTGGAGAGATGTACATACTCAGCTCTCACACCCAGCCTCTCCTACACCTATCTTGCTCTGAAGTAGTTCAGATTACCATGGAAAAAGAGGAGTATGTTTGTATCATTAAAACCAAAGTGAAGTCTAATTTAGCGTGTTACATCTTTCAGTTCTTCTGTGGTACTGCTAAATTTCCTTTGCTGTATTAACTTACCAGACCATGGGAGTGGCTGATTTTATAACTGTATTTTTTTGTCTACACTGATGCTGTTCTCTCTTACGACTCTCTCTCAGCCATGAGTGGAGTGTCTTGCTGTGGGGAAGCCCTCCCTCTTGGTCATGAGCACAGCTCGGGAACAGCTTGGACAGAGAGGTGAAGGACACATAGCCCCATTCCTGAGCCATGGCTTCCCACATGACCAAAGCCATCCCTGCCAAAATCAGGAGGCTGGGGTGGGCAGTGGTTCCAGCCCTTGGAAGCTCTGGTTTCAGACCTTTGCATGAAGGTGATGCTCATGTGCTGACCCTCTTGAGCCTACTGATGTGATTTTGGGGATGCCCATCCTCAGGCAGGTTGGCTGTATCCACCTGCCTATGCAGGACCTGGTGCCCCAGTGGTTCCTCAGCAAGTCTCCCTCCTGGCTGCTCCCACCCAGGACTGGGAAACATGGTCCTCACACGAGTCAAGAGACCCACCAAGGTGCCAGTGCACTTCATCCCCACCTGGGGGAGGAGGAGTGCCAATTAAGGAACAAATACAGACATGCTTAAAATCCACCACCACTACCCACATGATGTGATGATGCTTGTGGGTGCTAGGAGCAGCATGGAACAATAAAACCACAGATGAAGGATGCAATCCTGACACAGAAAGAACAAAAGAGCTTTTCTTACTTCAGAGGAGCAAAGCTCCTGCCTACCCCCCTTCCCTGCACTGTTTTCAAAGTCTATGAATCGCACCCAATGATTTTCTTTCTGCCCTTCCTTCCCGCTTTATCCCAATCCTAGCCATGATTTCAGTGCCTTGCTTGGGCAGAAGCCAATATGCTGTCCCTCTGCATGACCAAAAACCTAATTTTCATGACAGTGTAGTAGGAAATAAATGGAATATTTCTGAATAAGCAGTTCAATGTAACTGACCTTTCAGAGCAATATTTCAGTGGGAAGGATCAATGAAAATGTAAATTAAATGTAACTGATTCAATTCAGACTGCCCATCACAAGCGTCCCATTTTAACAAGAGATGCTCTGTTTATTTTCAGTCTTTTTCCAACTCAGCAGAATCCTAGTGTTGTTATATTTTTGTATCTGCGCCTCAGGCTCCAAATTCTGCTCTCAAATAAATATGAGGAAAAAAATTACATGACGGCTGGGTCTGTCTTTAAACTTCAGGGTGGACCCTCTTTTTTCCATTAAACTCCCTAGCAATGTATTATCAAGGCACACGTTTTATTGATGGCTTCTCCAGGTGGACTGCAAGCCCTGAACTCGATGGACATTTGCTGCCCTTGGGCTAAGGAATTATTTGTTTCAGAGGAATCTCTCATAATTAAGGAACTTACTGAGCTCTTCTGTAATCTGCCACTAGTGCTTTTCCACCTTATTTTCTTTTTTTTTGCCTGCTGATTACACCTGTACATGTGTTTACTCCCAAACCACATGAAAACCACAGACATTTTTAGAGGTTGACTGTTTTCTCCTACTCAGAAATCCCCATATATTTTTGGCCATGCACTCTACATTCATGTGACTCTCACACACTGTGGCTCAATGAAATCTTCTGAAAGAGCTGCCAACTCACCAAATTTTCCATGAATTAGGTCCTGTCCTGACACTTCAGTGAGAGGAAAGACAATGTCTGAAACAAGGCCAGTTCTGGCTTTCTGCCTAGTATGTGTCACAGTAATTCTACCAGCTGCCTTTCTATACAGCAGTTCATACTTTTCAGACCACCAAAAAGCCCCTTGAATACTTTCAGTGATAGCTGGGGCTTGAGCTGCCAGCATGTTTTTCCAGCCTCTGGCACCCAGTGGCTCTGGACTGGACCTAGAAAGGTTTTTGTGTGTGTGTTTGGTTTGGTTTGTTATTTTTGTGAATGGCTTCCACAGGGGACTCCGACTCCAGCACAGTCCTATCCAGCCATTCATAAAAAGCAGAGGGAAAATATTGTACTTTGCCCAGTTGGAAACTGTCTCTCACACTGACCAAGGTTTGCAAGAATCTTAGTCATTCAAGACCTTTGCTATCATACTGCTCCTTGGCAGTGCTTGCTTACTGCCAGCTAGGTTTCCACTGGATTTGGGATCTGGAGTTCAGTGTGTGATATGCTTTCTCCCTTAAATGGAAGCAGCTCAGCTATGCAAGTTCAGAAGCAGAGCTTAGTCCCTCAGCTGGTATTAGTGGCACACACCACTGACATGATAGGACCCATGCCCACTCATGTCACACTGAGGGCTATGGCTTGTGGCAGCTGAATCACTGCAAGGGCCAGTTTTCAGGGGCACTGCTTTTCCTGCTTCAGCCTGGCTGTGTGGGAGAGCTAGCTGGACAAATAAATCCAGAAAGGTCCAATCCTGTAAGGACTGCATGCTTACTTAGGTCACCATGCCCAGAAGAACTGAGGTTTAGAGGAGTAACAAGAAATTTCAAAAGCACCTCTCTCATTTCTTTAACTGTTGTGGATGTGATGCCTTTGGAACCTTTTTGACACACTAGAGATACTAATGCCTCAACTCACTAAACTTTGTGTTCACTGAGTTATCTTTTTGGAGCTTCAAAAGAAACATCTCTGATTTACAAGCGTGTTGCAACTGCATGTTCAACTAACTGGAAAGAAAGAGAATCTGCCTTGGTTATTGAGAAGACTGGAACCATAAAATACCCACAGACAAGAGACTTTAAAGAGGTACTCTGGAGGAAAATAAAGTTGTACACAAGACACGAGAGCTCTGAACTATTCTGTATTCTCCCCGCCAGGAGCCTGCAGAGTAACATGGCAGAATTTCTACTCTGTCAGAGGCTCTCTCACTAATGTCAGTGATCCTAAGTAAGGAGAGGTTCATGCAACACAGCACTTTCACATTTCATTTTTATCCTAGGTTTGAAAAACAGCTGTTGTACACTGCATGTATATCAGCTGAAGTTCCATACACTTCAAAGTAAACTTCAGGGTTTTTTACAAAGTCAACATTAAGTATCTTTCTTAAATCTACATGAGACAGTGTTGGAAAAATCCTATGACCAGGTCTTCAAATATCCATCATGCAAGAACAAATCCAAAATACAGAAGTATTTCTTTTGCCGGGTTTTAAATATTAAGTATGTGAGCTAAGGCAAAAGATAACAATTTAGAACTTCAGGCTAATATTCCTAACTTTGAACAGAAGAAAACCCACAAAACACCTGAAAAGGAATGTATAGGAAGTTTTTGATTGTTTTATCTTTGCTGTAAGTTTTGGATGTTCAAAGTCCAACTGTCTATCTTCTAGAAGACACTTCTTCCACTCCTCCTTTGTCACCACATCCCTCATTTTTTTTTTTATTTTCAGATTCTGTTACTTTACTCTTTGTCACTATCTTAGATGCATCCTTACAGCCTACCGTCACTGGTCAAACAATTTCCTTGCCTTCTATATGAGAAAATGTATATCATGTGATATATTAATATTCATCTTGTACCAGTGGCCAAAAGTTGTATCAAATTCAATTTGTCACACTTCTCATTCACTGGAGTCCTCTTATCCTGTGACTTTTTATATTAGAAAGCTAAGGAAGGAAAAGGGTAGGATATGGGTAAGTCTATTTCAACTACTACGAGCAATGCTGGAACATATTTTTAATGATCAGAGATAAAAGCACTGGTTTGAATGCAAATCATCTTCTGACTGCTGTGCCTGAAGCTCCAAGAGCAAGCTGCACACTCACAGTGCTCCTAGATTTTGTATTTGTGTCTTCCTCTTCAAAGTGAGTATTATGAAAATGTCTGACTGATGCTTCTTGGCAACAGCGATTCTCTGTTTTTTTCCAACAGCCTGACACAGACATGACATTTCCATGGAGGTAGCTCTGCTGGTGAGACTAAATGACCATGGTGTAAACTACTATTCAGTTAAGATGACATTTATAGTGCTGACAGCTCAGAGATCATTAAAATAATTTCATAGGTCACTCAAACACTTGTAGTTCTAAATTAAAAGATGAGTAAAACCATATTTAGTCGTTTTGTCTACACATCTTTGAAAAATCAGCAAGTTCATATTATATCTGTTGAAACCAATATAATCCAAAATAAATCATGTCTTACAAGCAGTTCCATATGAGAGCAGAGTAACTACCATTTTGCCCTACAGCTTTAATTGGTTTGAGTCCAGCCTTTTTCTCCCTCTTCCAACAGAGTGATACAGCCCTGGGACCAAGGGCCCACACAGCCCACCAGAGAACCCTCGCCTTCAAGCAAATCCACGTGCAGCTTCTTGATCATCAGCAAGAATCTACCCCAGATTGCATGGGATGATGTGCCTGCCATTTGCTCCTCAGGTCAAGGTATGCTCATGGCTTGCTTCAGAAATTATCTCCCTTTTGAGGCAGTAGCAGAAATGCTTCTTTATCCCATCAATAATGATGGGGGAAGTCCACTCTGCCCAAGTAGGACTAGCTTGTGTTTTGGAAGCACGGGTCATGAATTGTCTCTCCTGCCTCCATCATATGTTTGCAGTCAACTGGTAACTGTGATGTCTGTGTATGCACACTGCTGTGGGTCATTAGAATCTAACAGCAAAACCATCTGGCCCTTAGAGTTCAAAGGATATTTCACAGTTCTCTGTGCAGTCCCATAAATGAGGCTAATAGTAATCTGTGGAGAATTCTGGCAAAATCTATGGAACTATTCTTTAT